CCTAAAGGTGTTTATAGGTCATTTCTAGGGTTGTCTGATAGCATTTATATGTGACTGTATGGGTTTGGATTCTTCTGTGTGTTCATTGTGCTTGTGGACCATGACTAGACGGCATCTATGGCATTTTTGCAGGGTTCATGCTGCAGTTGCAAAGCATCAGGTATATTATGATCAAAGTGACAATACTGATTTCTTCTGGTGTTGCCAAGCAAAGATCCTTGTCCACAGTGTTGGCCAAAAAAGTTTCAAACTACCTTTTACTGCTAACTTAAAATCAATATCTTGCTACAAATGCAGTAAATAATGAAATAGTTGTAGAGTAGTGAAACATGTATAAGGGATGCTGTAAACATAAACTGGATATAAGAAATACCTGGATATACTACAAAAGCCGTAGAGTGTCACCATAGAGTTGTCAATTTTATGACAAATGATTCTTGTGCATATACATCAACTACAGTTATGCATCATTTAGAGTACATTGGGGTATTTTGGTGCACATGGTGATCCCACAGTGTTTCAGGTCACCCAGGGGGCGCTGTAAGCAGGCAAGTCTGATGTGATGCTAGTGTTGGTTTTCAGACTTTGGTAGTAGGCAAGCTTAAATACTACTAGTTCACACTTAAAGTTTCTTGTGACAGTATTGTTAACGACAAAGTATTGTCTGTCTGATTGTATTTATACTTCAGATGACATATTCTGTCAGAAACGTGTTGTATTTATGCCACTTTTCAACAGTATAAATAGTATATTTATATGTCTTGTATGTATATTTAGATATACATTTTGAACTTTTTAAGGTATGCAGTCTGACACTGAGTTGTCGTAAGAGGTAGAGTTTGTTGAGAATGAATAGGAAATATAATTATAAAGGAAGACTTAAGTTTGAAAATCTTCTAAATCATGCAAATAAGATGTAGCTTGTCATGAAACGTGTATGATTTACATAATAAGCCATTTAAAAATTATAAGTGAATGTTGGCAAAGTGCCATGTTTGTATACACTGAATGCCAGTGCAGGCTACAATAAACCAGTATAGAGCCAGGCTGGACTGTACTTCCAGGCTCCTTAATGTTAACATTTTTATATAAAATTTACTAAAATATTGCAGTAGATACTTGCAGATTAACTCGTGATAATATGCTTAATATCTTATATTTTCATTCTGGACAAAACCTTTCATCATTTTAAGGACAATTTCATTATAAGTATACTGACTGAATAGCAAACACTGCTGACAATAATCAGACAGTACATTGGATTTCGGCCTGCACGTGTCACACGTGTTTCAGAATCAGTTGCCACTAGAGGGCTTGAAATGGTTATTTAAAAAAGAGGGCAAATCCATTATATGAATATAGCGTGGTAAAGCTTAAGCTTGTTATGTCTAGAGAAACCAGACTAGATAGTAAACCCAATGAATTAAAACACTGTGCAAATAATTGAATGTCAGCCAAGTATATAAACATGTACGCTCTATAAATTCATAATTCAGCTGTAGTTTTTGTCCTCCTGATGTGGTAACAGTCGGTGATTCACTGAAAAATGCAAAGACTTGTGGCTCATTTTTTTATTTTTGCTTAAATGAAATTTGTATATGAAAAGACAGCATTTCTGGTTCGTACATAATGTAAATTGTTGATTTTGTAGAGGTAGGGACATGGAGAAAAAAGTCTCGGAACTGTAATTGTCTATAGCAAAAATGAAGATATTTTGAATGGCAGTGTCCCAATGAAAAATATTTCGTTGAAATTAAGATATGAAATTTTTTTATTTTTTTTTGATAATACTGGTTAATTGATTATTTGTTACTAAGCATAGATGTTTTCGCATTTCACTTGAAACACTTAAGGGTGGTAACTTGTCTACAGTAGTGATAATTGTATTATTTATAAGAATTTCAATTCTGCTTAAACTGTTCAGCTAGAGCAATTTTTGATGCAGTTAAATAAATTGAGCCGCGTCATGACAAAACCAACATAGAGGGTTTGCGACCAGCATGGATCCAGACCAGCCTGCGCATCGGTGCAGTCTGATCAGGATCCATGCTGTTCGCTTACAGACCCTATAACAAGTAGAGAAACTGATAGCAAACAGCGCAGGCTGGTCTGGATCCATGCTGGTCGCAAACCCATTATGTTGGTTTTGTCGTGAAGCAGCTCAATTAATGATGTGCTACTTTCTACATGATACACTGACACGCTTGATTGACTGATGAAAAATAAGTAAGTCAGACATAATAAGTATACCTGTGTGTCTGGCATATTTTAATTTTTGTTTAAATCTAGTTGTTATTTTAAAATTGTCGTAAATTATGACCAAATTGTTTGGTAAGTGCATCTGTTTTTGAACATTGGTAATTATTAATGTGTGTGCCATGTCCCTGACTGTGATTATAGACAGTTCCGCCTTATTACCGCCTTATTATCTATGCAGTCTGACACTATAATGCTCTCTGCACTATTAATTTATTCAGAGTGTACATATAAGTAGTTCGTTTCGTCACACCCTATGATAGAAAAGTCCTTTTTTTAACATTAAAAATTTAGTTCTCATAATTTTCAATGATGATAAATGTCTGATAATGCTTCTACAGGGAAAAATAAAATTATACCTAGCCTTGATGAAATTAAAAGGTTTGAATTTGCTGTCATTATCAGATGGAAATTATTTTTCTTTCTTTTTGAAGGATGGTAATAATGGGTAAAAAAAACTTTATGGGCTACTTTAGACACTTTAGAAATAAATGTTTAAGCTTTATGTTAACTACGAGGGTGAAGTGTACTTTGTAAGAAAAATTCCATTGTGTCTTAAGTAAAATAGTGCCAAAAAGTAATGGTCCACTGTGCTTGGAATGCCGAGCAGGAATTCTGGAGGAATTTCGATATTTGCCAGTGGTAGAATGCTTTAGCTATTATTTCAATTAGGCAGTGGAAAGCCCTGAAGACAGAGAAAGAATTGTGAATTCTCTGACACTAATAATGCAGTCAGCCTGTCAGAATCTGTTATAATTATTATGATTCCTGGCATTTGAAAGGTCATGTTATAGTACCCAGATTTTTGTCTTATTAACTGGTATTTTAAAGCATACAATAGCTGTTACAAGAGTTTTTACTTGAGTATCTGTATAGAAGAATTTTTATACCCCTTCCACCCTGATTGGCATAACAATTTTTGTCTCTGTCTGTCTCTATATATTCTATGTGTCAAAAAAATATTTGTCTGTTGACCTGGCATTCCTGGTTCAAGCATTCACTCAGCTAATTACCTATAATAAAAAGAACTTGTATGGGAAGGGGCAATTTTCTCTTGCATCAAAAATAGTTGTATATGTATGTTTATTCCTTGATATTCTAGTTCTTCCTACATGTACTACCTTCTAAAGGTATTATTAGTCCCCTACCGGTTTACCGGAGGGGACTTTAGGTTTACCCTCCGTCCGTCTGTCCGTCCGTCTGTCCGTCTGTCCGTCCGTCTGTCTGTCAGTCCGTCAGTCCGTCCGTCCACAAAACTGGATCCCGCGATAACTTGAAAAGTCCTGAAAATATTTTTATGAAACTTGATATATGGATAGATGGCAGTATGGAGATTATGCACGTCTTTTTCTTTTCTTCCTATGTTGAAAATTCTGGTTGCTATGGCAACAAATAGGCTGAAAATATGGCAAATTTTACACATAAACTGGATCCAGTGATAACGCAAAAAGTACTGGAAATATTTTTATGAAACTTGATATATGGATAGATGGCAGTATGGAGATTATGCACGTCTTTTTCCTTTCTTCCTATGTTCAAAATTCTGGTTGCTATGGCAACAAATAGGCTGAAAATATGGCAAATTTTACACATAAACTGGATCCAGTGATAACGCTAAAAGTACTGGAAATATTTTTATGAAACTTGATATATGGATAGATGGCAGTATGGAGATTATGCACGTCTTTTTCTTTTCGTCCTTTGTTGAAAATTCTGGTTGCTATGGCAACAAATAGACTGAAAATATGGCAATTTTTACACATAAACTGGATCCAGTGTTTACGCAAAAAGTAATAGAAATATTTTTATGAAATTTGTAATATGTGTAGATGGCAGTCTGGAGATTATACACGTCTTTTTCTTTTCTTCCTATGTTGAAAATTCTGGTTGCTATGGCAACACATAGACTGAAAATATGGCAAATTTTACACATAAACTGAATCCAGTGGTAACTCAAAAAGTACTGGAAATATTTTTATGAAACTTGACAAATGGGTAGATGGCAATCTTGAGATTATGCAGGTCTTATCAGTTCCCCCTATTTTGAAAAAATATTGGTTGCCTTGGCAACAAATAGGCTTAAAACATGGCAAATATAACAATATTTGTGACTAGTCAAAAAGAGCTGAAACTTTTTATGAAATTGCATCTTTAATTCCAGAGTTATCTCCTCTTTAAGAATTTTGCTTTTTAAAATGTTATATTTTGGTAACAGGGATGTTTCAAATATTAACTTTAGAGTGTCCTTCAGTTCGTCTGTCTGTCTGTTCATAAAAACTTTTTCCTGTGATCACTTTTAAAGAACATTTCCAACAAATTTACTTAAAATAGAGAAAAATTTACACATTAGTGAATGGCCAATGGCCCTTCAGAATGCTGATGGGGTTCTATCCGGTAGGGGACTTATGGATTGCTTGCAATACTATGATAATTGCTTGTTTTTCTAAATACATGACTGGAATTGATTGCCAGTAATCATATTTTAAATGCTCGATAAAACATGCCCCATACTCTTATCTAAAGTTTGAATCCTGCCAAGAAAGTTAAAGTCTTTCATTTGAGAAAGATACCTAGTTAGGCAATTGTAGGCATATTTTTCAACTAAGGAATGAGCCGAAAATTATACACAGCAGGTTTATTTCTCCGTGAAGTTGTCATACAACCATTAGAGGTGTAAGTGTGAAAAAGACAAAAATAACTAACAAAAGACTAAAGAGTAAACATGTTTTGTTTTCTATTTTCAGCCTCCACAACAAATGTTGACCTGATTAAAGCTTTTGCTGTTATTATAAGCATAGTTTTAATGCCCGGACTTTTCATCATCATTTGTGTGGTAAGCCCGTGTCCTCTACGATCTCGAATGTGGCGGCGTCGTAGACGGAGTAGAGAGAGATTAGAACATAGTCAGCTACGACCAGAGTCACAAGTCTCCGAGGTGAGAAATTACAACTGTACGATCATTATATGAGCCGTATCATGACAAAACCAACATAGTGGGTTTGCGACCAGCATGGATCCAGACCAGCTTGGGCATCCGCGCAGTCTGATCAAGATACATGCTGTTCGCTTACAAATCCTATAACAAGTAGAGAAACGGATAGCGAACAGCATGGATCCTGATCAGACTGCGCGGATGCGCAGGCTGGTCTGGATCCATGCTGGTTGCAAACCCATTATGTTGGTTTTGTCATGGCGCGGCTCATATAATAATGCCTTGTTTTCCTTAGCCTGACCGAAGAGTAGTTTATCTTGCAATGAGTTCATAACCCAATTTGTCAAATGTCTACATATTTTTACTTTCATACAGCCTGTGTCATCGATTCTGTAAAACTTAGTGCCAGTAGTGATAAAGGGAGACTAGTTGATCTTTGTAGTCTGAAAGCTTCTACATTTATTACTTTGTTAATTTTTAGAGCAAACCCTAGTTGATCTGTCTGTCCATTTTTTGTCTGGTCCATAACTTTGTTACACATGGATGGATTTGGAAATAATTTTGCATAAATGTGTGATACATGCAGATGCAACATGCATTTGTAGGTCAATGTCAGTCTGACAATAACTTTGCATAATTTTGCTTGTCATGACAAGATACTGTTTCCACAATGAGGTCTCTTGCTCAAAAGTCAAGGTCACACATTAACATTAAAAGTCATGACATCACGTTTTCACAAAAGTGCTTTGATAGTCATTTCTGGTCAACAATTCTGTCATTCCTGAATGGATTTAAAAATAACTGTGTTGAACATGATGATGATGTGTTTACATAAAAATCATGTCTGAAGGTCAAATGTCAAGGTCATTCTCATGTTATTGAAGGTCATGATTTGACTTTCATAAAAGTGCATTTATAGCGATTTCCAGTCAATAATTTTGTCACCCCTAGATGGATTTTAAAGTTCCTTGGCATAAATGTGTTGGACATGATGAGGATTTCAAGCTTGGGAATCAGTGTCAAAGGTTATAAAACTTATTTTTCTTATATCTGTCTCAAATCTTGTTATTTTCATTGGTCAGTGCACATTATGTGACAGTTTCTGACCAATCAGATACCTGAAATCTGAGTTTGAGCTTATAACCTTGACCTCAGGTCTCCAGCTGAAGGTAAAGGTCACACTTGTACCTACAATGTCATAATATGTTTGTGAAATGATGGTTCTGTCCAGTCCAAGACTTTGTAGCTTATTTAGAAAACCTGTTGTGTGCAAATGCCAGAACCTCAGGTGATGACAATATAATAGTATGTGGATATTTGTGTCTGGTCATACATATCCTTGTCATTCATTCAGTGAAATAATGGGGGTATGCTAAGAATATAAGTGTTTTAAGGGTCAGGCATTTGTCTGTTTCTTGCTTTGATTATTTATGTCAAGTTTGAATAATACTGATCTTGAAATAAGGTCACTGGGTATTGTATAAGGATAATTTATAATCTTACTGACACTTGCAACTAAGTGTGTTGCATTGTTGTTTGAATTGGTGATTTCCAGGTCAAAGTCTAAAAGAGGTCATCTAGTTTCAAAAACAAAGTCACTGGCATAGAACAAAGGAAAATCTTGTTAATACAGTTTCGTTTGGATCATTTATTTATGTGTCAAGTTTAGTGTGATTAAGTCATGTTGATCATTATGCCCTGCATAATTTATTTTGAAGTTGCTCATTCAGATATTTTGAGGTCACATTCCATTGATCAGATACTTGAGGTCACACAGATCATGTTAGTGCCTCAGAGGTCATATTTTCATGTCATAGTCTTAATATTTTGTTGATTTAATGTGACATTAGTTATGAGTAACCTGGAGACAAAACTTTATTCTCTAGTCTTAACTTTCTGAAAAGCCTTCTAGTAATAGTACATAGACGTACATAGAGGTAACCAAGCTATATTTTTGATCAGTCTCTATTTAAAATCAGACTATTTACCTTTCATATAAGAAAGCAAATTTACACTTATGCACATGCGACAAAACATCCTCTTATGCTGACCCCTTAGCCCCCCTGGAACCAGGAGTAATAAGCCTGTATGAAGCATCTTGTCTGGCCCTTTTGCTAAGGTCAAGGTCACATGTAGAAGGACAAGATATAGAGAACAAAATCAATATTGAAGTATATGTTTATATAACAAATCAAGTAGTAAATGTATATTCATATAACAAAGCAAGCAGAAACTATATATTCATGTAACAAAGCAAGTATAATGGTTTATTCATACAGCAAAACAATAAACAAAAAATGCACATAACAAAGCAAGCAATAACAGTATATTCATAATTGTAACAAAGCAAGCAGTTAAGTAATATTCATGTAACAAAGCAAGCCATTACAATATATTCATGTAAAAAAGCAATGAGTAACAGATTATTCATATAACAAAGCAAGCAATAACATTTTGTTCATATAATAAGCAAACAATAGCAGAATATTCATATAAAAAAGCAAACAATAACACTAAATTCATTTAACAAAGCAAGCAGTAGCATTTTATTCATATAGCAAGCAAACAATAACACAATATTCATATAACAAAGCAAGCATGGACATTATATTCATATAACAAAGCAAGCAGTATCAATTTATTCATATAACAAGCAAACAATTACATTATATTCTTATAACAAAGCAAACAATTATAACATTATGTTAATATAGCAGACAATAAAGGCTCTATCTTCAGAGAATACAATTTTGTAAATTATTTACAGAAATATTTAATAGGACCATGGGAATTATAAATTAAGTACTGGCACATGAACAGAATTTATAAAGTACAGGTAAAATGAATGTTTACAACATTTTACCTATTTTGACAGGTGTTTGCATTAATTATATACAAAGTAAACTTGTCCTTGTGGGATATAATTATATAAATTATATAAATTTGGTCATAACGCATTTAAATGGTTGTCTCATATGCAAAAAGTGATTTCCAAATATGATTGTGAAATAATAGCATGTTTTGTGTAGTGTGTGTTACATTAATAAGTTAGCTACATTTATAAACATTATAAATAAGTTATACACTGTTAATTATATACTGTTCTTAAAAGCGGCAATTTCATCAGACTTAGTTTTTAAAAAGTTATGAACTGTTTTCTTATAAGTATTAGTATTGTATCATTGTCAGTTTTACAAAGCAAGTGATTGAACTTAACATAAGACACTCACTATCTATAAAATCATTCTGTAACGAGTGAAAATATGCACAATTTCTCTGATTATAACAGTAATATGGTCATATTTTTCATAATATAGTCACATTATTACGTTATATTATGAATATGGGGCATCCGTGGCTGAGTGGTTAAGGTCATTGACTTCAAACAACTTGCCACTCACTGCTATGGGTTTGAATCCCTGCTCAGACTTTGGGTTCTTTCATGTTATGGAAAGCAACTTTCAAGCTATCATCTTGCGGAAAGTCTGGTTCTACACGGGTACCCGTTCATGTCTGAAATAATGCCCCAGAAGGGCACCTGAGGTCTTCCTCCGCATGTAAAATTGGAAAATTGAATATTTATTCATACATGTGTATTTCTTGAACAAAAAACCTTTTTAAACAAGGGTTTTCTTTTACAAATGTATTTTACTCATCTTGCCGCATGCTGCTTCAATGTGTTGACTATCCAGACAATCATACTGCTCCTAGAACAGCTCTTGTTATTTTTGGATCTTGATATAAGCCCTCTCTAATGAAATAAAGATGCACGGATCTGATGCTGAATAATACCAGAAAATTGACGTAGTCCATAAAGACTGTATATTAAAATTGATTATGAAATATGATTTGACATAGTTATATGATTAAGGAAGTTTTACGGCTTTACAGTTCATTTGGAAGTCTAAGCAGACCTTTGAGAGAAGCTATCTACATAACTTTGTCGTGAAGTTTTATAAAACTTAGACATAGTACAATTGTTTTTGTCTATATAAACTGTAATATACGCTGTTCGTATCCCATGGAGGATTGTTTGGGAATAAACTGAAAAATCAGAATGAATGCAAATGATCACCTTGGCTTCTTAAGTCGTAAAATAATGTCTCCTAGAGTCATCTGAGACAGTTACATGCTAGAAATTTCAAATAAACAAATTTATCAATCCACCAAGTAACTGTCTGAGTCATTTCATAAATCAACAAGAAGTTTTCAATGGATGAGCAATAAGCTTTTGTAGAAGAAGTTATTTCTACAAATATTTTTGTCTAATGCTTCATTTTGTCAGCTTGTTCCCTCTCATGTTCATTGTGCAGGCATATTTCTTGTTTTTCATAAAGTCTCTGTCTGGTATATGGTATAAGAACAGAGTTATCGGGTTATATCATAGTTTTAGACTGGTAAATGTTGTACAGCTACGGACCAATCTCCACGCAGTGATCTCCCCTTAATTCTTCGGCTTAGATCTCTGCCACCAAGGTCCCAATATATCAGAATTTCTGATATACTACATTTTTTCAAAAATTGTTTTATCTACTGCTTTTATCTATCAGATATGTTTTCTCTCATTTATTTAACAATGTTTATGAATAAATAAATAAATAATATGAATATTTAGAAATAATTTTAAAAATTATGAGATTATTTTCTACCGAGACGATATTTTGATATTTTATATTTTTTAGCTTTTGAATTTATTTTTCGTTATTTTGTATACTTTCGATAATTTTTTGATAAACTATATCGAACGTAGGCACTAAAAGTTAAAAATAAAACAGAAAGAGAAAAATAACGTTAGATTTTCTTTGTAACGGTCGATATTTACATTTGAATTTCGACGTTACGTCATGTGACTTTCATCATCATGTGACGTCTTTGAAGGCAGTGATTACAATTCTGCCAAGGGAGGTAATCACTGTGAGGAGTTTGGCTACGGACTTGTTAATGTTTTACAGCTTCAGACTGGTTTATGTTTTTCAGCTTCAGACTGGTTTATGTTTTTCAGC